AAGTTTCAGTTTTACTTTAGTGACAGCATTTCCATCTGAACCAGAAAGGTTAACATAAACTCCTGGAACGTTAGGGTCAAGTCTTCTTATTTTCTCAATAGTTGCATACTGGTCTGTTTGTTCTCTAGCTTGTGGTTGTACTGAGTTTCTTAAAGCGAACCATTCATAGTTTGCCCATGTTACTGTTTGAACTAAGTCAGAGTTAGAATATATCTTATATCCCATGAAAACTTCTGGAGCATATTGGTATCCGACATAGAAAATACCATTGCAACCTTTCTTACCTCTCAAGTCAGCAGAAGGTTTTATTTCAATGTCTTGTTCCACGTATAAGAATGAGTTGTCAATAGAAATTATATGAAACCTGTCGCAAGCAATATCTACTGTTGTTGAAGAACCTTCTCCAAACTCACCTACATTTCCATAAGAAACAGCAGTTGTATATTCGTAAGTTCCAGGAACTATTTCTGACCTTCTAATGGCATTGTCGCATTCGTTATACCATTCGGAAACATTTCCGTTCATGGCATCCAAAACTGTTGGCGTTATATTCTGAGCGGCGTACATTTCATATGGGTAAAAATATAGAATAGTTGGATTTATGTGTCATAATAGAACCCACTCGGACCAAGCTTTACTTTCTTCCTGACTGAGTTTTTAACTCTTCTTTTTCCTTCATTGCCACTACTTTCACTAGATGAAGTTACTTCTTCACTACTTTCACTTTGTTCTACTCTTCTCTTCTTCTTTGGTAACTTGCCCTCTGCTTTAAGTTGTTGCATCTTTGCCTCATGTTCACCTAGTATGTTGTAAATTTCCCATGTCCTTTTTGCCTTTGGGCTCTGGTCGCCCATCTCAGGTAACCTATATCCTAGAAAGATTTTGTCATAGTTTGTATTTGAGTCTTCGCGTATTGTTTGCATGACTCTTTCCTGAGTTTCCGGTTCAAGCTCTTCAAATATAGCTTGTCCATATGGAATAAGCTTGTTTCCAAATATATGTTTTTGTAGCCATTCTGGTTTTCTTTCCATGTTACCAACAATATCTTTTGTGAATGGGAAAGCTTTTACCCAACGTTTCAGGCTTGGGTCATTTATTTCTGTAGTTGGTTTTATTTTGTCAAGGAACATGTTTTTCAATACTAACATTTCATTTGGTACTGTCCATTTGAGTTTTCTTAAATATTCATCCCTTCTCGGTTCATTGTCTGCAAAGTAAGTTTTTATGACATTTTGTAAACTTTCGTTTGCAAGGTCATGTACAATAGGTTCTCTTCCTTCTGTCTCCCTAACTTTCTTTCTAAACTCTTCACCAAATATACCATCTTTATGGTTCTGTGTAGTTCTTTGAGATAAATGTTCTAGAACGTCAGGTGTTATATTTCCATCAGCCATGTTCATTTCATACTGGTTCAAAATATCTGCATCTTTCATATCTTTCAATGGCATTAAAGCCGCGCTGAAAATACCAGCTAAATCTGGTTCACCATTGACTTCCATTGCGTCTACAACATCTTGGAATTGTGGTTGTAAGTTTATGAACCACCTATCCGGGTTAGCTTTATGACCCCATCTCATTGTAGTTCCATAGTCTGCAGAAACAAAAGTAGGTTTGTTTCCATATTGGCTAGGTTCTGAATGAACTTTAAACAATGTTTCATTTTTATATGTTTTGTTGAAATTTAACCTTTTATTTTCACCGAGTTCATCCAAAGATTGAACGTTATATGCTCGTAAGTAAAAAGGGTTGTTGTATTTGTGTACATTTTCTTTCAGTTCTTCCATTCTATGCTGAATATTTTCATCTGATGTTGGAGTCTTTTGTATGTCGGCAAACATTTTTCGATATTCTTCTACTCTGTCAGCCGAATTTTTCTTAAACTCTTGGAAAGATTCCATATTCACCTCATACTCTTGTTGAGGGTCAAGATTTTTCGGCTGTTCCAAATCTTCATCTGGTTCTGTGAAGTTAGTTTCCAAAGGAGGGACTTGTTCGTTTCCTTCAGGCTCTTCTAGCTGTTGTTGCTGAACTATTTCTTCCATGTCTGGTTGTATCTGAACTTCTTCCTGTGGAGTTTCTTGTACCTCATCTGCTGGCATTTCATATATTCCGAGACCGTTTTTAACAAGTTCCCTATTTAAGTCATCCGCATTCATAACCCTTTCTTCTTTCGTTCCGTCTCTATTTTTTACGCGTTTCATGAAGATAGTTGAATTGTCATTTATCTCTGACACCAAATATCTCGGAGTAAATTTAGTCATGTCATTTGGATGATATGCTATTAAATCATATCCCTTAGCGAGCTTGTATTTTCCAGGTTTGAAATTATATCCCATTTGGTGCTGAACCATAAAGCTAAATAGGTTCGGGTCAGTATTTCCTTCCTTGAACTTTCTAATAGCTTCTTTATATCTGTCACTAAAGTCAAGAGTATCTGGGTAACCATAATTTTCCTTTAGCATTTTTAAGAATTCTTGGTTTCCTTGTTCTCTACTTCTTTTATGTCCTTGCTCTGTTTGTGGTTGTTGTTGTGCAGGGTTTTGAACTGTTGGTTGTTGTGCAGGGTTTTGAACTGTTGGTTGTGGTGCTGGTTGTGGAGGTGGTTGTTGTGCTGGTTGTTGTTGTGGTGCTGGTTGTTGTGTTGGTTGTTGTTGTTGTGCTGGTTGTTGTGTTGGTTGTTGTTGTTGTGCAGGGTTTTGAACTGTTGGTTGTTGTGTTGGTTTTGGTGCATGCCTGTGTCTGTGTCCATGTGACGATGTAAATGTTCTAGGTAGTCCTGGTGCAGGTGCTTCTCTTGGAGGGTTTGGTGGTATATAAGTTCCACTAGCTAGTATATAAGTTCCACCAGCTGGTATATAAGTTCCACCAGCTGGCACATATGTTCCATCTGCAGCATAATGTCCTACCTGACTTTTCGTTTTTAAGAAAGCATTTACTAGGTCTGTTTTGGTCTGTTGTAACTCTTTTTCTTGACTTTCCACAACAGTTGCTCTAACGGCGTCATAGGCACTTTGAACTGCCTGTCTCGTTGCTGCATCTGTTATTTTCGTCATATTTTGTGCTACTTCTCTTAACTCTTTGTCGAAACCTTCAGACTTCAGTTTCTTTCCAGATGAGAAGTCGTTCACTAGTTTCACCTTACTATGAAGAGCTTCGAAGGCGTTCTTAAAGTCAGCATTCATTAAAGCTTCATTTGAACTGTCTTCATCCGCTTGTATTTTTGTCCTTATTGACCCTATAAGTTGGGCTGCTTTGGCGTTGGCTTGGGCATCTAACCAGTCATTATTAGCTTTTATATATTCTGCGCTTTTCATTGCCTTTTGCATGGCTGCGTCGTTATTTTTACTTTCTTGTGCTAAGTTTTCATACTGTACGGTTTGGTTTTGCAACTGTAAAAGTTTTTCTGCCTTTACATTTGCTTCAACTTCTTTTTTATACTCATCGCTATCCATATATGTCTTCAGGGCTTTTTGTTTTATTTCTTCATCTTTCAGTACTTTATATTGAGTAGTATGGCTTTTCAAATTTATGACATCTTGTTCCATTTTTGCTACTTCTGCTGCTTTTTCTGACACTTTTTTCGCATATTCCTCTGTACTTAGTTCTTTCAGTTGTTCTTCTTTCTTCTTTTTCTCTACGTTTAACTCATTGAGTTTCTTTGTGTGTCTGTCATATTCTAGTTTCTTTTCGTTTTCACTTATTTGCTTCTGTATGTCTATGTTTGACTTTTTGACATCTGTTATTTGATTTTTGAGTGAACTCAAATTCATTTGACTTTGAGGGTTATAAGCTGTTCCGTCTGCAGCTCCACCATAGCCTGCCATTTTCGCTAAAAGTGCCGCTCTTAAACCTCCACTCTGTGCACCAAGAACTCGGTTTAAGAGCATAGGGTTGCTTGACATTTGTTGCAACATAGTGGGGTCATTCAGCATTTGTTGTTGCAACTGTTGTTGTGGTGTCAGTTTTACTATTGGATGTTTCAATGCTCTCTTCCTCTTACGTATATTCTTACGTAGCTTACGTGGCATTTTAAGTGAAGTTAAAAAGCGGTTTTTGACAGATGTTTATATGACACTTTTTGTTCAGCTCAAAAAACTACTCGGTCAAAGTGTTGTCAGTTTTGTAAAATAACCGTCTTATCTCATTCTATAAGGGGAAAAAGGCTTCTCAAAGTATACTTCCTTGGAACGCCTGTAACTTTTCCTGTAGCGACGATAGACCCTTACTTGTCCGGACAAAGTTATACTAAACATCTTCAGGGCTAGAGGGCACGAAGTGCCTGGAGGCCCCACTACCTTTTTTTTTTTTTTTTTTTTTAATTATTGAAAACTTGTAAATAACAAATGCAAGACAAAAAATGTAAGGAGAAACTTAATTACTAACATAAATGTCTCTAGTAATTCCTATTAATGCTTTTGTTTGATTCATTAATGGTGTGTGAATGAATGGATTCAATCAACCAGTATTATTTGCTTCTTTAATAGCTTTAACAGAGATAAGATAGTTAGTAACTTCATGATGACATGTTCGTGAAGTAATAATGAGTAGTTTGCAACCAGAATTATCCTTTGCTTTTTTATCACAGTTATTTTCAATGAAAGACTTGATAAGCCCAAGATGTACTTTATCATATGATTCGTGAAATACCTTTTTTTTAATTTTTTAATATGATTTACATGTTTATTACAACATTTATCAGTTTCCTTTGGATGAAAAAAAAGCACCAATGTAAACGCAAATACTTTCAAAAAGAAAAACGCAAATTCTGAAGTTAAGCAAATTTGAAATTTGAAAAGATTCATCAAAGAGCGTAAATAAGGACTTAGAGAAATTATCAATTTCCTTCATTCCTGTCTGTTTTTTATTAGATGAGTTTTTAGCCTTGATGATGTTATGTTTTCAAGGTAAAATTCAATTATGGACTATGTTTGTTATGAACTACTTTTAAACACCTTTTATATTTACATAATTCTTTTATTTATTGAGTTCATTTCTTTGTTATGTCAAATAACACAATATCTCCAAAACCCTATGATGAGCTTATGGCTCGATACAAAGATTATATCACTGCATTTGATTCAATATACAAGCTAAATTCAAACGAGAAAAACGAGATATCAAAAGTTTATAAACTTATCAAAACGAATTTAATTGAAACGAAGATAATCATGCCAGACCAGATGATCAATATCATTAGTGAGGCATCCAATAATAATCTGCGATATTTAAATGGTTATTTAGCGATTTGCAAACTTATTTACGACGAATATCATCCTCAAAATATCGTACGTATTTCCAAATTCTTCGATTATTTCGCACACAAAGAATACGGAATCTTTTTCGACGAAAAAAATAAATATAAAGTAAAAAAGTTTGAAATTGACCGATTAACTAAAGCCATTTTGAATGATGACCAGAAAGCATTGATGCACATTACTCAAAGTAAGAACTTTAATGTCAAACAAAAAATTAAAAACGTATTTGAGCATTCTTCATATATCGAGTATTCCTTACTTGAATTATGCTGTTTTCATGGCTCTGTTAACTGTTTCAACTATTTAACATCAACATACAACTCAAAAATCACCAGCCATTGTCTTGCTTATTCATTTTTACACGACAACAATGAAATAAGGGAAGAATGCATGAAAGCGAAGAAACCGAACTGGGGATGCATGATGAACGCCTTAGTTTCACACCACAACGATTATGTTCTTTTATTATTGAAGGATAAAGAGTTTAAAATTAATTTAGAAACATGTGTAAATCACAACAATCTTCAAGCATTTTTAATTTATTTGGATCAAACAAATGAAATGGGTGAATGTTTTCAGTATTCAGGAGGTTTTAATCTTCCTGGTCTTTGCGAATATTTCCTTTCACATGGTGTTAGTGTTAATAATCAAGATGAAAACGTGAAAATGTCTATTTATCATGCTGCTTACCATGGATGTTATGATTCATTGAAATATCTCATCTCTCGTGGTATAAATGTTCGCGATGTTAAACCGAAATATGGCCCGAATCCTTTGAATGTTGCTGTAAGATCAGGAAGCATCGAAACAGCTGAACTTCTCATTAAAAATGGAGTTGAAGTGAATTCAATTGACTCTTATAATGTTGGTCCTCTTTGTTATGCAATTGAAAATGGAAGAGTTGACATGGTTAGAATGCTTATTGCTCATGGTGCTGAACCTTTTAATAGAAAGATCTATTTCGAGGCTTGTTTGACTCAAGCTGTGCGTGAATCATCATTAGAAGTTGTCGAATTTCTTCTTTCTTTAGGTGCAAGTATTTTGGAAGGAGATGACAATGAATTTACGCCATTTATTACTTCATTTGCTTACAATAGAAAGGATATGGCTTATTCTATGTTGTTCTACAAATCAAACGTCTTGACATATTGTTATGGTTTAATTGTAATGCTTATTTTGTTTATTTTGTTGAAATTTATGAAGAGATAAATTCTTTAATAAAAAATATTTATATTGTTCGAATTACTATCTATTTCTTCTGACTTATAAAAAATTAATTTAAAATTAATTGAGACTTATTTCTATTGAATAACATTATCGTGGAATCAAGCTCAACAACAACTCAAATGTAAGTTCATCATAAATAAACCTGAAATTTATTGAATTAATTTTTAAAAAATAATTGCATTATCATTCTTATGATACTAAAATCAAATCATAAAGCTTACCAAATTAGCCTTTATCTTATGTGTTATAATTACAACTTCATTAATTCTCAATATTCTTCAATGAATATTAATTCTTTGAGACATTAGTCGCCCTTGTCCTAACAATTTATATCTCATGTCAAATAACCGCTTAGAGAGTGAATTTTTTATGGAATGATTGACTTTGTTTGAAATGTCACTTTTTTGCAATGCGATCCACAGAAGTTGCTAAGAGGTGCCAAGCATATATTGAAGAATTGTATAAAGATCCATTAACGTCCATCTTCAAAGAAATTAATCCTGATGCCACATATCAAGAAATTTGCCCGATTCCGATGGATTTGAGAACAGTCAAATTAAAACTCGATGAAAACAAATATCAAAGCTTCAATGATTGGGTTTCCGATATGTTTCTTATCTTTGATAATACAATTAAAGTATATCATAACAAAAATCAATTATTATCAAATTCAGCGGAATTTCACAAAGAGAGATTAAAAAAATTCATAAATATGATGACAAATATGAACTCAAGGAACTTAGAACAACACCTTATCGATGCGTATTCTGAATTGCAAAAGCTTCTTCTCGATCCTCCATCTCATTCTTATGTTTGTGAGAATTTGAGAAAGATTGATTCAATATCTGCACTTCACCCATTCACTGCAGAAAGAATTACGAAACTAACAACAGGAATTAACAACGCTTTGAAACAAAATTCAGATAAGTCGAAAGTAATACTTGAAAAACTGAAGAAAGGTGGTTTAGTAAGCCAAAAATCTCCAAATATAGATCTTGCTCTTGCAGGAAGAGATCTTTTGAGCAATCTTGAGCATTCTGTTTAAAAATCTAATACATATGTTATTTCTTATTAAATATAAATGTACTCTTATACAAAAATTTAATTTTCGGTTGTTTATTTTAGATTTTCAAGCAAATTCTAATATAGAAAAGATATAATTAATGAAATACACTAGTAAAAGGTGAATGTGAATATATCTATATGTATAGTGTCAATTGTTGGGTTCGTTTTTGCCTAAAAATATTAAATTTGAAATTATTTCTTTCATTTAGTCCAAATTTGAAATTTCTGTTCTATTTTAAAAGTCCCAATGTTCTAAAATAGGATTTGGATATGTTACCATTTCAAAATCCCTTCAAAATCTTAATAAAACTTTTATTAAAAGAGTATTGATATATAATATTAACAAAATCCAAAAGTTTTCATTTAGAAATTCATCTATTTTGCTAACATTTTCAAGAACATCGTAAAAAAATTGAAATTTAACCGTAAAAACCAGAAACTTGTGAATACAAGATTCAGAGTGAAATTAAGAATAGTCAAGATTAAAATACTTTACATACAAACAAAATAATAAAAATAAAAAAATTATAATCTGATCATTGGAGGTTTTGGAATTAAAACCTTTGGAGAAGCCTTCAAGCTATCAAGCATTGACCTTGAAACCTTTGCTCTTTTAACATCTTTGAAGAGAGAACCAACTTTTTTATCCGAATCTTCCAATTTTTCAGCAGCAACGCCAAGTCTACTGTACAAAGCATCTCTTTGTTGTAGTAGCATCCTTATACTTGCCTTCTTTTTGATGCATTGAGGGCATTCCATTGTATCCAAATCTGCAATTTCTTTGTCCAAGGCCTGTGATTCCTTTAGCACTCTCTCTTTCTCTTCCTCCATGTCGAGCATCAGTTTCCTGTGCTGGTCTATGAATTGCGCCTTTTGTACTCTCTGTTGCATCTCTAAATCATCCATTTCTTTTTGATGCAATTTCTCTTTTTCGTTGAAATCTTCGTCCATTTTTGCGATGACTTTCTCGTAGTTCTTGTAGAAGATTTTCTTTCTGTCTTTGAACTCTGTCCGGATGACTTTCTCCACTTGGGCGAAGATTTCTTTTCGCTCATTCATCAGCATTTTAGAAATCTTCTCGGTATTGACCTTTTCAGCTTCAATGAGCTTGGTAATCTCGAACATCTTCTCATGCATTTCATCTGTAACTGCTCTGACTTTCTCTTCAAAGTTGTCTGGCTGAGATTTCGCAATTTCGAGATCTTCTGTGTAGGATTTCTTCGTTTGCTCGCGGAATTCCTCTTCTTGGTCGGGTATGGATTGCTCAAATTTGGTCGCTTCGTCTTCTTTTCTGTCAGCAATTTGAGTTAATTCTTCAATTTTGACAACTTGATCGGCAACTTTGTTTTGCAATGACTGCGAAACAATCTCCATGTCTCTGGACTTGGAATCATAGGTTGATTTCTGAGCAAGGAACTTAGTTTTGATCTGGAACATTTTTTCTTCGAAATCTTCTCGGATGTAAGCGAAATTCTTATTAATTTCGTCAACTTCAGTTAGAATTCTTGCCTTTGTCCTGTTAAATTCCTGTGTTTCGTTCATTAATTTCATGGAATAAGATTTGATTTCTTCGATTTCAGCTTCTCCTTTCTTCTTTTCTTCTTCTTTGCGTTTATTTAATTCTTCTTCGAGTGCTTTCGCGCTTTGGAGCTCTTCGTCCTCCGGGGAAGTTTCCTTATTAGGGGTCTGTTCTGAATTTGCAGGGGTTCTTGTTGATGCCAAAGAACTTGTTTCAGAAATATTCTCCATCTTGAGACTTGTTTCAGTTGAATCTCTCTGGAGTTCCTCGATTCTTTGTCCGTGAACAGAATAAAGTCCTTCGAACTTCATATTCAGCAGTTCAATACGAGATTGCAATTCAACAATTCTTGCTTTCAAATTTACAATCGCATTGTTATGCCTCTGGTTTTCTGCTTCAATAGCAGATGCCAAAAGTGTCTCGCGATCGATCTTTGCTTGTTGTTCTAACTTAAAAATAAGTTGATTCTTTCTTTGTTCGTGTTCCTGCTTAAGTCTCGCCAGTTCGTCAGCTCTCATTTTATCATGCGCTTCTACTGAGACCCTATGCAGCTCTGTAAGATACTTCTGTTGCTCATCAAATTTTTGCATAATTTTATTCACTTCTTCGTTATGCTTTCTCTCTGTTTCATCAGCTTCAGATAATACTTTACCAACTTCTATCTGAAGAGTTTTGGTTAATTCGTCCAAATCTGCCTTCTTTTCGTCTTTCAAAGAATTTAATTCGTCTTTGAGTTCTTTTATTGCCATTTTCGCTCTGTCGCTCTCATCTTGGTAATGGGAGCAAGCAATAGCAATTGATTTTTCGCTCTCTTCGTTGGAAGCCAAGATTTGTTGTCTTAATATTTCCAATTCTTTTCCTCTTTGGTTTTCTGTGTCTTCAATGATCTTCCTCATTGATTCTATACGTGGCCTATAGTTAATTTCGATCTCAACTCTTGCAGCTGTTATTAATTCTTCAGTTTCATTTTGTTCTTTCTCGATTTTACGTTTTGCTTCACGTTCGGCCTTCTTGAGTTCTGTAACAGCTTGTGAATGTTCACTTTCTATCAACGATTGCTTGTTTGCGAGCTCTGTTGATAGACTTTGAAAAGTATTTTGTAATTCTTCCAAAGACTTGTTATGTTTCTCGACAACGAGGTTTCTTTCATTCATCATTGCTTGCTCCATGGCTTGGATTTTTTCTGTAGCTGATTGGGATTCGTTTGCAATTGATTTTTCAATTTTTGAAAGTTCTTCTGTAAATCTTTTGATTTTGTCATCGGCAGTATTCTTTCTAGTTTGATATTCACGAGAAATTTGTTCATGCTCAGTCGCCATTCTTCGATCTTCTTCTGCGATCAAATCTGCTTTAATTGTATTCTGTTGGTGCTTCTGATGAATCATAGATTGCAATTCACGCTGCATAGTATTGATTTTGTTCGTAATCTCTTCGATCTTTCCTGTATTTTCCGCTGAAACTTGACCTAATTTTTCTGCTAAGTCTTTTTCGTATTTGGCATAGATTTCCTTTTCGCGCTGTGTGAAGGTGCTTTTATGACTATTAAAATCTTTTTCGTTATCTTGCATGATTTGATTGTAAAATTTAGTTAATTTTCCAACTTCTGCGAGCTGAAATAGCTGTCCATCTTTCAATATCTTCTGTATATCTTGATCATCATCGATAATTGATTTCTGGAGGGTATCTATTGTTTGACTGATTTTTTCAACTTCTTTATCATGTTTTGCTATGAAATCTCTCTCTAATTTGGAAACTAATTCATCAAACTTTAATTCTTGCTCCTCTTGACTTATAGCAAAGTTACTTTTTTCTGGTAATAAATTTTGAAGAATCTGTTGAGCGCCCTCAAAAACATCTGGAATGTCATTATCCGTGCTGTACTGATGGAGGGTATCAACGATTTGCTTGATTTCCGAGAGTTTTACATTCAATATTTCACAGGCGTTCAAAGGATTTTCATCCATTGAAACCTGTAAAAAAACGTGCTTTTTGAGGCAATCAAGATTTTAGTCATTATTTCACGTAAAATCATATATAGTAGTGATTGTACTTTAAAGTTTACATAATTACATCAGACATTGCTGATTAAAAATATTTAAAATTCTTTCAAAAAATATAATTTTTCAAATATCTCTCGATTAATATAATCAAAATCAAAATATATTACTTATTACCATGATGAATTTCTGGAAAAATTCCAAGAAAATTTTAAAAATCATTTTTTATCTTAAATTTCAACAATTTTTCACTTTATTTTTTCTAGTTCAAAAGAAATTTTAAACGTTAATTGATTAAAATCGCATGAGTGATAGCATAGACTGGTCAGAAAAGTGCAGACAGATGGAATATAACCTCAAAAAACTTAAGAAAATCAGAATAGATGGTCCAGAACGCGATGCAATTGCTCTGGAAGAACAAATAAATTTATATAAATCTAAAAGCGCAGAAATCGTTGAAGACATCGAAAATGAAAAAGAACAACTAGACAATTATCTCGATGAAAACAAGAAAATTCAAGATAAAATTCAATCCCTTCAAAATGAAATTCGCAAGCTTCAAAAATACTTATCTCAAGATGTTATATTATCAGTTTTAACAAGGTATCCGCTTTTTAACGTTAGGATGGTGGATATTGTTACATATCGAATAAGATTAGATATACCAGATACAACTATAGAATTTTCGCTTGAGAAGAAGAAAGGAGAAATCATATATACCCCAGGAACTGGTATATCTAAGGAAGCTCCTAGTTCTATCAAGACAGCAAAAGCTTTATCCAGAGAAGGTCTTGAGCAGCTTTGTAATGACTACCAGAAATACATAAGTTACTGGAATTAAGCAAATATCTTTATTATTTGAAGTATATAATTATTTATTGAAATATCTTACTAATTATTACTTATTCTTGTTGTTTTAGTCATACATTATGAATTAAATCGCTATGTTTTGTATTATTACTAATATAACAATACTTGTTTTGCATTTGAATTAGAAATGCTTTATTCAATCTTACCAAAATGAATGCTTAACAACATGATTATAGAAATATTCTATGAAAGATACTTTTTAAACACATATTGTGCTTCCAGTACCATTGAAAGGCAAATTTTATGATTAGAATTGAGGAGATATCATTTTAATGAAGCCTTTTTTACAAAAAATAAATAATGTGAGTGGTACTTGTGCAGTATACATAATGATGCATATCTAATAGATTACCAACGATTTTTGTCACTTTTCTCATCATTTGCTGTAATTTAAAATTTTTATATGGATCCATCTGTAAATTTATATGAACAAATGCCAACATTTGCCAATAAAGAGAATAGGGAGCTTCACCAACGCGTTATGGCGAAGCGAGAAGAGCTGCAAAAGTTAGATGCAGAATGTAAAGACTTACAGGAGCGTGTAACTACTTTAACAGCTCACTTAAAAGACTGTAAAGTCGAAATTACGTCAACACAAGAATTGGTTACAGCAAAAGAAGCTCAAGCAGAAGATGAAAAACATTTGCAGACATTATCTGAGCGTGAATTTGGTAAAATTCAAGTTTCATTAGTTCAACTCGAACAAAAAACGCAAGAAATCGAATCAAAATATAGCGAAGTTCAAGCAAAAGTTTTCAAATCAGAACAAAGGATTGAAACATTCAAAGAAGAACTAAAAGTTAATGAGGAACAGTTACAGCAATGGATACAAGCAGCAAAAGACAAAGAAGAAGACTTCCTTGTCCTTCAAAGATACAAAAAAGAAGATGAATCGAAAATTCGCCAGATGATTTACGAAATTGAAAAGAATCAAGGACTTGTTGATGCAAAACGTGCAGAACTTGATCAAGAAATTACAACAACTCGTGCTCTACAAATAGAATTAGATACAACAGCTTCCCAGTTCAGAGCTCTTCACAATGAAAGGGCCGAACTTCTTGAGCAATGGGAGAATACTCTAAAGCAACTACAATCTCTTAATGATTCCATTGATGAGAAAAATAAACAATACGATCAAAGAAAAATCGAAGCAGAAAAACTATCTACACTTACTAAAGAGGAAGAAACAAACCTCGAGAAAGCTCTTAAACACAATAAAACCATCGATAGAAACATTACAATTGGAGATGCTGTAATTACAAAGAAACATGAAGCATTTGAGCAACAAGACAAGGCATTACGTGAATTTAATGAAGTTGTTGAGACCCAAAGAGGCGCTTTCGAGCTTGCAGAGTCAAATGAAAGATTCATCAGAGCAGAAATCGAAGAATTACATCGAAAAACGCAACTAGAAATCGAGAAGAAGAACAGTTACTTGGAAAGACTCAAACTAACACAGAACGCCCTTGATGTTCAGAAGGATTCAACGGAAGAAATACAGGAACAGACGAAATTCATATATGACTTCATTGAAAAAGCCAAAGGAACGATAAAGGACAAAGAAAAAGAAATCGACGCCGTTAAAAAGACGATATATGAGGAAAGCCAAGCTTTACATGACGAAAAAACGAAGGAGAAGAGCGTTAGAGCGGAATTGGAAGGCAGCAAGTCACACAATAAAGCTCTACAGGCAAAGATAAGTGATTTGGATAGAGAAATGATGAAACAAGACGGATTAAAATATAATGCGAAATATCAGATTGCTATGATGGAGAGAAAACTCGGGAGAATAAGGGGAGATATTCCAGAAGACCAGAAACAAGAGTTTCTTGATAAAATTGAGAAATTAGAAGGAGAATTGCAAAAGAAAGTAGAACACGAGAAGTTTATTGCAGAACAAATAAGAAGATTAGACTTAGATTACAGGCAATGCCAAAGAAGGAAGGATAATTCAATGGAAAAGAAGATCAAATTAGAAACCGAGCTAAATGAAGTAACAGTTGACGACGATGCATTGACAAAAGCCATAGAAAGGGCTAGACAGAGGAAATCAGAGGTTCTTGTCCAGCTAAACATGCTCAGAATCCAAGTTGAGAAAATGACAGAACAATATGCGGCCAAAAGTGACGAAATCATCTCTTTAGAGAACCGCCGTCAGCAACTACAGCTAAGTATGCAAGAAAGGCTTCTTGAAATCGATGAACATTTGGCCGCATTACGAATAACACTGAAAACAGAAGAAGAAGCCAAACACAAGCAAGTTACAGAGCTTGCCGAGCGTAAGAAACACGAGAAGGTCATGGCAAACAAGTTCCAAATCGTCATGGGAACGTACAAAACAGAAGATGGAGAAGAACCAACACAAGCCAAAAATGTCATCAAATTTGCCACCCAAAAAGAAGAAATTTCTCGTCGTGGAGATGAACTCGATGCAGAGATCAAGACTGCAGTCAAAGAACTCAAAGCATTGGAGAGAACAATGGCGAAATTCAGTGACAACAATGACAAATTCAAAGAAGGATTTCGGACGGCGAATGACAGCGAAAACGACGTCGAAAGGAAGAAAGCTCTTGAAGAACAAAAGAAGAACTTGCAGGCAAGGTTGAACGCCAGAAGAATGGAACTCAGAAGATCAGAAGAAGTTCACAGCGCAAGTAATAAATCATATGACGATAAAACAAATTATTCGATGAAAATCAAGTCCGAAATCGAGAAATTAAAATCGAATTTGGCCAAACAAGAATCAGAGAACAGAGAAGAAACGGAGAAGCTCAAAAGGGCTACAGCGATTCTCACGAAACTTCGAGAGCAACATAGAAAAGAAAACAACATTCCTCTCGAAGCGAAATATCCTTCAACAATCTTGGAAATGGACATGGAACTGAAATTGACGAAAATGGTCACTGATTCTATAGTTGATGAACTGTCAAAGATCGCGGCAATGAACAGCGAAATAATGCCCCATTTACAGTCATATCTAACAGGAATTGGTTTGCAAATGAAGATTCAACATTCTCCAAGAAAAATAAATAGAACTTCATCATCTTCTTCTAACTCTTCGGCAAATGAAATACAAGTCAGACCTCCTTCTTCTGGAGCTCCTTCCAGGGCAAGCTCTGCAAGGTCTTCAAGCAGATCAAGTAAGATATCTCACCACATTGATTTGGCACTGGAAAACATCAAAAGAGATGATGAAACTCGATCTAATTCTGCAAGATCCACAAAAAGTATTAACTCTGTTAGATCAAAGAATTCTCAAAGAAGTACAAGATCAAGGGATTCTTACAATGAAAGACAAAATGATGTTGATTTATCTGTGCAAGGAATAACTTCTGCAAGAAGAGCTGAACCAAGAATAACAAAACCAAATCTCAAATAATTTTATTTGTATTTTTTTTTATTATTGTATGTATTAAAAGAAATAAAGGTAGTTTTACTATGTTTGTTTTAATTCATCTTAATTTGCGGTTTCCTTTAGTCAAGGTTTTTAACAAATATTCTTGTATTGAATCTAATCATTTTGAAATTTCGTCAAGGGCTTTTTTTCCCTAGAGGATAATTTTTGTCATCGATTTCTAATTCAATCAAAATCTCTAAACAGACCATGAGAATATAAATTTCTTGAATGCAAACAAGGTTTCCAACTATTTACAGAGCTATTCGTAAAAATCAAAACCATGGTTCTTGAAAATTGATGGAATTGAAATGCTTACAGGGGAAAAAAATATGAAATCAAGTTTAAAAATATATTTTTTTTTATTTCAAAATAATATACAAATTATACAGACACGCGATCTCCAAAATCAATTAATTCATCATTATCATCATCATCAGATGATGATTTTGAAAGCTGATGAGGACCAGAATCAGAAGTAAGTTGCAATGAATCACTGTCTGAATTAGAACCAGGATTTGAATTTTTTTCAGATCCATTTTCATTGCTCAATTCATATGAACGAGAACTATTTTTATCATCCATATTTAGGCTTTCGCTTTTAGCATCGACATCTCTGATTGCAGAACTATCATTGTCAATGCTGTATACCGAAGAATTATTGTTTTCTTCGCCCTGACTAATAGAATAATCCGCACTGTTGTTTTCTTCAATTTTAGGCTGATTGTCAGACTCACTGTAACTTCCAGAATTGGTTTCAACTTTTTCATTATTATCTAAATTTATCTTCATTTCCTCATTGTCGCTTTTTATATTTTCATCAACTTTTATTTCTTCTTTTTCACTTACTTGACTATCAGAGTAATCATAAGAATAATAATCAGATGATGCAGAAGAATAAGATTTCTTGATTGCAGCATCATCGAAAAGAACCTTTGGTTTATTATCTTTCTTCAATTTTTCTTCAAAATCGTTTTCATTTTCTGATTCATCAGTATATTCGTAGACATCAACGTATTGAATTATTTCGATATCACAGTAATTTCCATCACTTGAAGGAGGTTCTAATTCTGGTTCCAACTCTACAATTTCTGTTTCTTTCTTAACTCTTTTTGCGTCTTTCTTCAGGCGCTCTTTGAGTTCTTCTGCAAATCTTTCGTCTTCTTTATCTCCCAGTTCTTTTGATTTCCTTGCGAGATCTCTTCTTCTTTCTCTTTTTGCTTTCTTCTTTTTGAGTCTTTCAGCATCTTTATCTGTTTTTTCTTTAGAATCCCTTTCTAATCTTTCTCTTCTTTCCTTCTCTTCCTTTTCTTTACGCTCTCTTTCTAGTCTTTCTTTTTTTTTCTTTTTCTCTTCTTTCTTTTTCTTCCCTTTCTTTACGTTCTCTTTCTAGTTTTTCTCTTTCTTCTTTGTCATTTTTATCTTTATTTTCAGGTTGTTTATGTTCTTTTTCTCGCTTTTCCTTTTCTTTACGTTCTCTTTCAGTTTTCTCTTTTGCTTCTCTTTCTAATCTTTCTTTCTCCTTCTTTTCTCTTTCAGCTTTCTCTTTTGCTTCTCTTTCTAATCTTTCTTTCTCCTTCTTTTCTCTTTCAGCTTTCTCTTTTGCTTCTCTTTCTAATCTTTCTTTCTCCTTCTTTTCTCTTTCAGCTTTCTCTTTTGCTTCTCTTTCTAATCTTTCTTTCTCTGCTTTTTCTCTGGCTTCGCGCTCAGCCTTTTCTCGAGCGCGTTGTTCTGCTCTTTCCTTAGCTCTTCTTTGTCTTTCTTTTTCTGCTTCAATCGCTGCAAGTCGTTCTTCTTCCAATCTCTTAATTTCGTCTGATTTTTGTTTCTGGAAAGCTAGCCATTTAGCGCGCTCTTCTTCGATGAGTTTCTGAAGCTTTTTACGCTCTTCCTCTGTAATATTATTCTGCGATAAATCAAGAGTGTGCAAAGCACGCTCAGCACTCCAATTTTCAGGATCTTTTGGCGGGCGAGTAATAAACTTGCGAATTGCTTCTATGTTGTCGTTTGTAAGGCCACAGTTAATGAATTCGACTGCAGCAAAATTATATGGGTCGAGTTTCTGAATATTTTTATTAAATTTATCTGTTTCGATCTTAATGTTTTGGAATGAAAGTAATTCAAGTGGAGAATTGTTTGTTTCAAGAGCATCAAAAAGTTCTGATAAGTTTTCTGAAGGAATATTCATATCACTAAGCCGGATTCTTTTAATACGCTTAGCTTTCGGTAAAACTTCTTTTAATATTACGCATAAGTAGTTTAAGTAGTTTGGTCTTTGATGATAAATAGATTGTTCAATAATTCTCTGTTTTTGTCTGTTCTTATTTAAAGACGTTTCTTCTTGCATGGCAAGATTACAATTGAAACGAAGTTCATCAACTTTTTTATAGACAAGATTAGATAAAGGCCAGAAGAATTTTTCATAATATTTAGCCGGAATTTCGGAAAAATCATATGTACAAAGGTGTTCGTCCCCGTTACCTAATTTATAGAGTTCCTCTATTGTGAATTTTTCTTTCTTAGTCATTATCAAATTCTAACAAAATTAAAAATTTAAAATTTATCGGCGTGCAGCAAATTCTCGTTGTCAGATAACTCACTGAAAGGCTCTGAGGTGTATAAAGAACTTTCACAAATATTGTTTTCAGCTATTTTTAAGGCTCCATGTGCATTTATATCAAAAGCAGACTTTTTTTCCGTACTCCCTCTCAATTTTTTTTCCCAGTTTTCGTACTCATATGGTATTATTAGTGTATAATAATCAAAGAGCTTTCGCTATACTGCAGCATTAAAATATAGCTGTATTGTGATTATATCCTTGAATTTGAGAGGATTCTAAGTTTAATGTCAAGATACCTTTGCTTTCCAGGAATTTACAAAAAGTGCATGACCCTCTACCCAGGGGTCCAAAATGCCTCTTTTTTCCAGCTCGCATATACCACGAGCTAATAGACAAAGACGAATAGCATAGCATGAATACCTATAGTGTGGGTATTAGATTTAGCATACTTCCAATGGAAACTAAGAGGGTAATTGACATGATAATTAAAGATTTGATTAGCTCATAACTCACTCATTTTTATTAATGTGACTGTGATATTTTAGCAGATGTGTGGGCAAGTATTAGAGATTATGATCATGTAATCAGATTAAAATTCTAAAAAGATTGATTGAAATTATTAACTTAGCCTTTACTTATAATGTTAGAAAACAGATATTTCCTCCCTAGTATATGAATTTATAATTAATAGCTTGAAAATAGAAAACAAAGTTAATTTTAAAAATGTAAGATTATTATTAAACAATTTTTGATATTTTGCACGAATTCATACTATCCTATGGAAAATGTAATGTGATTATTATTTTAATGATATTTTGAGCAAGAATTAACAATTCAAAAGTTGATTTCTCGTGTTTTAATAGAAATGAATTTGGTGAATAGTAAGTGTATATGGTAATTCTTATAAATGACAACTTTTGTTTGTTTAAAATCAATTGCGAAATTATTGAATAATATTTAAGCAGGAACAAATGATAAATGAATGTATAATATATAATACTATAATATGTTTAGACTAATAACGAGGATATGAGAATCAAACATAGGCAAGTAGTTAAAATCGAAAATTCAAAGGGAATTTAAGACAACTAAAAAGTTTAAGCGGATGTTATATTGTACTGTGGATTGATCCATTTAAATCGCCGAAAATTCAATGATCAAATAATTTCAATAATAAATCATGTTCAAAATTCGATTCTAAGCAGTTAATTTTATTCTTTATCCTATGAGATATCATGTTCAAAATATATGAATTAATTTCATAAATCACTTCGAAATGCTGGACTGCTTGTTTCTTATAATCATAAAATCTAATTTTTCCGTGTGATTTGTAATCTATGCGTTCCAAAAATGCGTTTTCCGCTTTCAGAACGTGAAAATATGCACTATATAAGCTGATAAAGAAGGGGGGTTTACAGAAGTGCTCCCACTCCCAATATTAACAACTTAGCTTATCTGCTCATGCTGGAAAATACCTAGGCCTAGTTATGTATATATCTATAAATATTGTTCGCATCTCTTTTATCGAAGTCAAATTCTAAATTAGATTTTTGAAAATTATATACAATATTCGCTTTCATAATTAAGAATGTAACATTTATGTAGCGGTAATGCATGTCTGATTCAATATAATATGATTGGATTCGAGTTTAGTTAAATCAAATTCATATTTATCGAATCCTAGTCATTTTAAGTCTAGTAATCTTAATAATAAAACACATTCATGAAAATCATTTTAATTATAAAACAAAATCATTCCTTTACACAGATTTTAAATTCGAGATTTGAGAAATTTGTTTAATTCTACTACGATTTTGTGGAAATTATCATGTTTATTTTCAATCAGTGTCATGCATACTGTATATTATGGATTTAAAATCTGCATCAATATCAATACAATCTCCGATTTCCATACCAAAATGTAAATGTGATACGACCAAATATAGCTTGCTCCCCAGAATTATTTTTGCATTTTTCTTGGAAAATATTATTAAACATCAGATTTTAAATATGAAAAAGTGAGAAAATTTACATTTTAAGAGTGAAATTGAATGAAGCACGTTTATGATGAAGTGAAAACTAACTATGGATCTAATATCTACATCAGATGCCAATTCTAAAAATCATAAAGAGAAAGCTAAGATCACATTTTTTGTGAGTGGGATCACTTCTGGGTTTACGGATTTTTTTCCTATCGTCGTAAAAATACGGAAAGTACATCAGTAAAGGACGATAGAAAAATTTGGTTTATAAAATCCTTGTTTCTGCATAATGAATTAAGTATTCGGGTTTTTCCTTTTGCAGCATAATAATGTATTATTAGGCCAATGTATCTATATCATTAAACACATATGTTTTTGTTTATTAATCATTGAATCAGAAACATTCTGTCTATATTTTGGGGTTATTGAAGAATATTGCATTAAATCGTATTATCCACATATTTTTCTTATAATTTTGTGTGTTAACTATTCCACTTACCAATATATTGATTCCATTCAATTGCATATTCATACAAGATATTGAATACTCTTCATTTAATGATGTAAATAGTATTTATCGTTATAATAGCGATATGTGTAAGTATTATATAATGAAAATGAGTTAAAATAAAACAAATTTAGTGTGAATTTCATTAATTACTTTTATTTTAAGCTTATTATTATAAACAAATCTTCAACCAAAATGTTTTATTAATAAATAATGTCTGTTTTTGTTTGAAAATGAAAAAAAAGTTGAAATTATGATTTCCATCATAAATATATATTTTAATAGTAATTCAGATTGTTGATAGATTGTTTTATGTATATTCTATCCTATTTGAAGTGATTCATTAAGCAATGACATTTTATTAAACTCCTTTTCTTTTGTAAAGTCTCTTATTCAAATTTTTGATAGAGGTGCACTCAATATTGAGGCAGAAAAACGATAGGGAGACTTTACGTAGGAAAATGGGTTTATCTTTGATTTATGTCTTTCAAATTGAAGTCTCATAATTGACTATTATTTCTAATAATTTATATTTTTTGATTATAACTAAGATGAATACAAATCCTGACGCCAATTCACTATCAAGATTTTTTTTTCATATAAAAAATTAGAATATAACTCAGTCTTAACTAATTTTTGATTTAAATAAGAATGTTAATGTTCATAATCCCTATTAAATACCGATAATGGTAGAAATTTTTTTAAATGATTGGATAATTGAAAATACTCATTTCAAAAGCACCTTTGGGCATACAAATTCCTTTGTATGTGAAAGCTAATCTATTAAAATTCCGGTTTATAGTATTTTTCTAGCTAAATTGCTTAAATTTGTTCAAGAAACTTAAACTAGTTCATGTATGAATTAGTTATGAGCAGAAATTTGGTAGTTGAGTTAGTTGGTAATTGTTTTATGTCTTAAATTGCTTGTTTGTTTACATAAATTTAATTTTAAGTTATGCAATCAGTTTTTCATTTGCACTGAATGTGATTTGTAGTTACATCCACATACACTGTAGTACACATTTGTTTCATTCCTTAATTCCTAATAATTGAGATTATATGAATCAAAATTCACACATAATTTTTTCAAATCTAGTCAAAAAGTATTCAAAATCTAAAATGAAACCATTGACTGCCTTTTAAATTTCCAAAAAATATTCATTTTTTCGATTTTGATGATTTTTCTAACAAATTTTCAATTAATTTTTAGATTTTGAATTTTTTTTTGAAATTTATAGATCCAAGGTGATGTGATTTTTGCATCCCTGGGATGGACGATACACCCAAAGTGTCACCTTTTTTGGGATAACATGAATTTTAAATATCATGAGAGTTCTGCAAACCATATGCACAATATCTATTCAGCCTGACTTCTTGTATATATGAGTTAGACTTCTTAAATATTGTGCTTGGGGCGATATAAGCATTTCCGAGATTACCATCGTGCTCTATAGTATGCTACTTCTCCCTGGTTCTAGCTCAGTTCCAAGGATATTGGCGTTCAAGGATTTGGCAAGGTCCTTCCGAAGTCTCTCATTCGATGAGAGATTTCGGAAGAATCTTGCCTTAAAGTACTCCAACTCTTGTTCTTTTGTTCCTAAATAGTGAGAAAAGTTATTTGACTACTTAAGGTAGAGATTATCCGAGGTCCCTCATTTGATGAGAGGCCTCGGATAATCTCTGCCTTAAAATTGTACACTTGTAGTCCATGAGAGTGTAAGTATACATTGATAGGACAGCTTTCTTCTGAAGTCTTAGATTTGATGAGAACCTCAGAAGAAAACTGTCCTATTTTATAGTAAAAGGAGTTTCAGGAGCTCCAAAGCTCCCTTTCGTAAGGATTAGAAGCTTTGGAGCTCCTGGTTCGTAGATGTGTTTCGCATCTTTCATCAGCAAAGGATATTTACCATCTGGGACTCTGTTGATGGAGACTCAGGAGCTCCAAAGCTCCCTTTAGTAAGGATTAGAAGCTTTGAAGCTCCTGGTTCGTAGACGTGTTTCGCATCTTTCATCAGAAGAGGCCCAAATGGTAAATAGCCTCTGCTGATGAGCTTCAGGAGCTCCAAGGCTCCCTCTCGTAACGATTAGGAGCTTTGTAGCTCCTGAAGGTAAGGTAGGATTGCTCTGATCTCTAATCAGTAGATGTCATGCCTCATTATGAACTCTACTGACAAGAGATCAAGAGCTCCAAGGACTCCCTTTTTAGTTAGTGGCGTTCTCACCATTTAGTAGGATTGCTGATCCTACTAATGAAGTATAAGAAAGAAGAAATGTTAGAAGAAAGAAGAAATGTTTGAGAACAGAGTATACTTCCCGAATGGAAATCTTTATGACCTCTCAAATAAACCAAGAGAATTTATTTCGAGATGCATTCAAGGTGGAAGATGTATGTTGTCAGATAACATGAAACAAAAGAGCAAAAAGAAACTCATTGCTGACTTCGACGCTGTTTCATTATATCCTTCAGCTATAGCAAG